GCCACCAGGAACGGATCACCACAGACACAAGAAGTCCCCAAGTGCGGTGAAAGCACCTCCATCACCCAAATCTTCGCAACGAGCGGCCTGGGACCCTCCACCACTGTTTCAGGCTTACCCACAGGCTATTCGCCATGTTCAGCTGCCGGCTTGTACGCTCTCGGCCGAGGCTATCATTCGGCTGTATGGGCCGAAGGGCACGAGTTCGTTGAGGGACGGCTTCTCTACTACTGTTGCGGAGGATGGAGTAGGCGAGAAGGACAAGTCGAAGAAGCGCCACCGACGCACCACATCGGCGTCTTCCTTCAAGGGTGACTGGACCACCAAGATTTTCGTGCTCGTCACATCGGGCTATCTGCTCCAATATGCCGGCGAGGGCTCTTTCGATCGGCTTCCGGAGAAGATGTTGCACCTAGGAAAGGACTCGGCGGCCTTCGCTAGCGATGTCATCCCTGGGCGACACTGGGTTTTGCAGGTTACTTCCGCCATGGACCCTGACGGAGCGACAGCACAACACTCGACGTCCATCTTCTCGCGACTTCCTTTTCGTGCCGTCGAGAGGAAGCAGACCTCTAACTTTCTAATGGTGTTTGAGTCGGCCGAGGACATGGAAGGCTGGATTGTTGTGCTTCGACGAGAAATTGAGGCACTTGGTGGGAAGAAGAGTCTGTCAGAAACCGGAAAGCCCAAGGTTGACGATAAGGTCTTGCATCTGAGAGCGCAACCGAGCCAGCGGACACTGGTCGTCAGGGATCCAGACCGCTTCTCTAAGGTGCTACCCCAGGATATCGCCTGGGATCGGCCGGAGTCACTTGCCAACCCCGGCATTCGACTGTCTGCTGCGGAATCGGACGTCACACGCGATCAGTCCTTCGACGACACTTCCACGGCGAGCAACATCTCGCAGGACGGCCGCCAGCTCGACGGACTCAGGGACAGTACGCACCGGCTATCATACATGTCGTCAGGGCAGCGTACCATGCTGACGTCTACCGGCTCCTCCCCAGCGTGCTCTCCCATACGCGACAGCTTTGGGAGTCAGCTCGGCGACTCGCCTGCGCTAGATTCGCCAAGTGAAGGAGAGTCAAGGCCACGGCGGCGGCCTAATGCTTCTGCGATTCTAGATCGCCGCCAGTCAATGCAAGGGGTGAACCATTTGGCTGAGATGCGCGTCGTAGCAGCTGCCTCTCGACCGCTGTCAACTACGTACTCCAGCTCGTGGCAGAACCCAAGCTCGATCTCTTACGGCAGTGGCATACCGACAATCCCTAACTTCAGCGTGCCTCACTCGGCGGGCAAGCGTTTCTCGCTTTCGATGCAGCCGCCAACAGATCCAACTTTTTCGTCGGTGTCCTTACAGCAACACCTGGGCATAGTAAGGCCTGCCCGGCGACCGCCACCCACAGCTATCTCGATCAACCCTCGACCGCTGTCACTCGTGGTGGACCAACCGTCTCCGGAACCAGCATCGCCAAATGCCATGAGCAAGCACCTAGTGTCAGCTGATGAGGCCACCTCTCCAGACACGCCATCGGCATACTCGCCTTGGGTTATGGAGGAGGAGCAGGGACAGACGCTCCCGGCACTGGACCGCTCAGTTACTGCATTCAACGCTCGCGACCTTGCAAGTGGAGATGATACTGCGTCGAGACGGCCACGAGCACGGAAGCGCCCATCAACGAGCACCATTCGTGTGTCAGATGTCATCAGTGAGACGGACACATATAGTCCAACCACCGTCCAGCCCATGGAAATCCCGTTGCCGGCGGAGAGGCCGGGATCGAGCTCGAGCCTCATCGCCAAATACCCAAGGTCAAGATCGTCCATGGACACCTATGGACGGAGCAAGTCGCCTCCCCTATCACCAGGACCCTGGAACGGCCACTTCAAACGCTTCAGCTTACGACCTGCGTCTCCGGATGCTCTCGGCCACTACGGTCCTGACGAATCCGATATCACAGTCACAATTACTTCGATCAATCCCCAGGACTCCTCCATACGATCCCATACACCAACCCTCTTTAAGACGGCTTCCACAAAACCTGCAATCAAACCTTCCGGTTCATTGCCAGGCCAACACCAGCACCTCGCTATCAACGCCAAGGGCCTTGTGGCCAGACGCAGCATGTCTCGTCTGGCCGACATCCCGCCACCGGCACCTCCTCCAACGTGCGCTTTGCCTCCACTTCCGCCCACCCGCAAGGCTTCATGAGGCGACGCTCCTTTCCTTACGGTGTTTATACACGACTTTTATGACTAAGCTACGACTGGATTATATATCACATCTACATCACTTTTCCTTGACTTTCGCCAGCCATGGCATCTTTCCTTTGTCTTTCTGTTTGTTCGGCGTGTGGAGTGCACAAACATGGACCATATGTCCTTGTAGCATACTGGCTCGCAAGATGGCGTTCTGATGGGCTAAAAGGTCAGCTCTCGCCACGAGAGCTGAGTGTGGTGGACTATGGCTCATGGACGGACGGTGATCAGGATCCTGGAAAGGTATATATCACGCAGCATGGCGGGCGATGAGGCGTAACAAGGGCCATGATATCCGGATGGAATTGCTTCACTTCTTGTGTATTATATTGTACTACGAAGTAACTAAATGTCAACTCATGAGTGAATAATCCGAGATGTGACTGCTCTGCTCGTATGTAGAACGCCTTTGATAGTTCACTCCTCGTCTTCAGAGACGTTATAGGGTAAAATCTAGGCCAGTGGATTCTGCGGAGTTCCATCCCCATCTGGACGCCTACTGTATTCCAAATCCATGAAATTAGTTGACTCACTGAGTTGGAAAGTGTCAGAGAGGCGATTCAAGGTGAGCAAGGTGAGCGAGGTGAACAGGCAGGCGCGCGTACATAATCCGGGGTGGGAGATAATTTGCCCCACATCTGACCGCAATCTGGAAAAATCGAGGCATGGCCAAAAATTAACGTCGACCTTCAAAGAAACCAACCCCACCAAAGCCTTCAACATCGACCACGACGCCCTCTACAAAGTCATCTGCCCTGCCAAGAAGACTCTGCGACTCCGACACCATCCTCCGAACATACAAGACTTCTAGCAAACCTAGATAATCAACACCGCAATCATGGCTGGCGTTGAGAAGAAGTGTGTTGTCCCCATCCTCCCCTCGCCACTCTCCATCAGCAACCCCCTCAGAACAATACTAACCCCTTCCCTCTCCCAGGCACGACTGGGCCGACGACGAGGACCTCGACGAGACGGTCCAAGAACTCCCCCCTCCTCAGAAAATCACCAACAAGGACGGCTCCACGACGGTGATCGAGTACCGCTACAACGACAACGGCCAGAAGGTCAAGACGACCCGCCGCATCCGCCTCATCACCCACAAGGAAGTCGTCAACCCCCGCGTGGCCGAGCGGAAATCATGGTCCAAGTTCGGCGCCTCCGCTAAAGACGTCAACGGTCCCGCCCACGACACGACGTCGGTGGGAGAGAACATCATCTTCCGCCCCAGCGCCAACTGGCGCAAGGACGCCAAGAACGAGGACGCCGACCCCAACGCCGTGGCCATGAAGGACAAGCTGAAGGACAAGAAGGTCAAGTGCCGCATTTGCAACGGCGAGCATTTCACGGCCAGGTGTCCGTACAAGGACACCATGGCGCCCATCGGGGAGGCCGGCGCCGCGGCGGGTGCGGACGTTGCGGCCGGTATGCCGGATGAGAGCCCTGCTGCGCCCGGTCCGGGTGGTGCGGGAGCGGGTAAGAAGGGGAGCTACGTGCCGCCTGCGCTCAGGGGCGGGCCAGGAGGTGCGGCTGCGGGCGAGAGGATGGGTGGTGCGGGCGGCAAGTACGGCGAGCGGGACGATCTGGCTACGCTGCGTGTTACGAACGTGAGTTACCCCACTCCTCTACTTTTACTTGGTGTGTTTTGTTTGCTAACAAGAGTGCGAAACACAGGTCTCCGAGATGGCCGAAGAGAACGAGCTGCGCGAGATGTTCGAGCGCTTCGGCCGCGTCACGCGCGTCTTCCTGGCCAAGGACAGGGACACGGGCCTGGCCAAGGGCTTCGCCTTCATCAGCTTCGCGGACCGAGAGGACGCCGTCAAGGCGTGCAACAAGATGGACGGCTGGGGCTTCAAGCATCTCATCCTGCGCGTCGAGTTCGCGAAGAAGGCCGCGTAAGGGGTTGCTGCTTGTTGAGATTGAGGCTGTTGTGGAAGGCAGGCAGAGGTGTATGGGCAAGGGGTTGTTTGTTTGTAACACATCTTTTTTCGGCTGCTTGGGTGGGATCTTGGGCGTGGTGATAAGGTGCAAAAACGACAAAATTGCAAGGAATGGTTCATGGTCATTTTTGCTTGCTTACCCGTTAGTGGTCGGTTATAGAGACTGCAATATCATGGAGTGGACGATGCTTGACGATGTGCCTCTCGCTGTACCAGTACTATCTAGCCCTCACGTGTATCATAAGTGCTGGGTATAAGGAGTGTTTTCCATGTGAAGTCTTGCGAGATATGCATGCCCTTGTGTCCACCAGCTACTAGTTGTCATGCCGCCCATTCACAAGAAAGCTGCGGAGTTTCCCGGTCATACCCATGTCAGCAGCTCGCCGTCAGGAAAGTATCACACTGTCATACGGTCCGACCCCAGTAGTCGAGCAGTAACACAACTGTAAACCGACTTCTCGTCTCATCCATCTGTCACTCAGAACTGCCCGACCAGACCCCGGGGTCAGCCGTCAAACTGTCCGCAGACTCGCCCTTCTTTCCCTGGCTAAGATCGAATCACGGCGCCCTCAACTCCAAACTCCTCAGGATAGTGACAGAACGACTTGCATATGATAAAGGGCAAAAGAAGAAGACAAAGTTAGTCTGTTGGTTCCTACACAAGCCGCGCTTTCGTTCCAAGAACCGAAACTTCTAACCCAGCTTTTCCTCGAAAACTCGAAAAACAAAAAAAGGCAAAAAGAGGAAAATCACGTCCGAAGCATTGAATCGCCATGAAGACAAGACGATGGATGCTTCGAGCGATGCCCACTACCAGGATCGAACTGGCGACCTCATCATAGACCTGAACCTGGAACGAACAGGAGTGTTTTTACTAGTGATGCGCTCTACCACTGAGCTAAGCGGGCTTGCTCTGTAGTGTCTTGTGTCGACAATGGATGAAGGTCGAGTGGGGGATTATGAAGGGATGGATGGATGGGGGGGACGAGTCATGGGTGCGGAATACATAGAGTGATAAGAGGGCGGAAGATGGGTGTTGGATGGAACTTGGACGGGGATGGCGAGATACTGAAATAAAAAAGGTCAGAAGGATATGGGGGGAAATTCGGATGGAGGTTTGACTTTTGCTGGGGAATATTCGGACGAGGGGAAGGTATGGGGGAGAGCCTGGGCGAGGAGATCGGATGAACACAACTGTTCTTTGACGAGGAGAAGGAGACGTGTAGGAGTGGGCTCTGGTCGTGTTGATAGCAACGGGGGAAGCATAGAGACGTCATGAAGGGCACTCGGGACGACGAACTGTCCGCCACGCAGCATGAAAAGGTCAGGAACAGCATGGAAATGTTATACGTGATGCTTTGCTCGTATATGCTAGCCTTCCATGGCAGAAAGTTTAAGATATGCATGTTCTTCGTAGTCCAGGAGGAAAACGACCATCCGGTCTTTTTCACCAAAAGCCAAACTTTTGCTTAGGTCCAAAGTCTACCACCAAGACTTTCTATAAATCCCATGCCTTTCTTTGTACCGAACCCAAAGGAGTGTAATAATGCTTTCCGCCTTCTATCCGGAAATTCAATTTCAAAGAAACGCCCGCCCATAGCCCGATATATGGACGTAGGAACCCCGAGACCCTACTAGAATGTACAGGGAAAGAAAAAGAGAGGCCCGAGTCCATTTACAGGAGAAGGATAGCGCCCATCAGAGCGAGGAAGCCGGCAGCCACGGAACCCGAGAGGGCGGCGGCGCCGCTGCCTGGAATGACGGTGGCGCTGGGGGTGGCGGTCGGGGTGGGAGGCACGAAGGTGCCGGTGCTGTTAGAACCGGAGCCACCGCTGCCGGGGCCGCCGGTGCCAGTGGAACCTGCGCCGGGGCTGGAGAGCGTGTTAGTAGGGCCCGCCTCGAGGGAAGATTGAGAGCCCGGGAGGCCGGTGCCGACGCCAGGGCTGCCGCCGGCTAGGGATGTGGGCACGGTAACGCTGCTGGGGGATGCGCTGGGGGAAGAGCCGCTGGAGCCGCTGGAAGAGGCGGTGACGGTGTTCCCAGTGGAGGAAGTCGCTGATGCAGAAGCGCTGCTGGAGGAGGAACTGTAATAATGATGTTGGTATGTGGTAATAGATAATTGGGGATATGTAATGGGAGGCGGAACAGAGAGCAAAACTTACGAGGTATCGACGTTGCTGCACGACAGGTCAAAGAGAGGCTTGGTCGACAACTGACCGGCGCCGATGATGCCGAAGCTGGGGTTGGGGAGGTCGGGCGAGCCGTCCTGCATGGTGAACCACCAAGTGTTCACGCTACCGAACAGGGCGCAGCCGACCTCGTCCCAGTAGGTCTTGGCGTTGGCGAGCGAGGGAACAGCCTGGCCGACGGTCTTGCCGCTAACAGGGAAGCCGGTCTCGGTGATCCAAACGGCCTTTCCGCCAACGGCAGCCTGGACAGCGCCGATGGCGTCGCTGAAGAGACCCTTGTTGTTGGAGATGGCGTTGGGCATCGTATCCTGGAAATAAGGATAGGCATCCGTGCCGATAAAGTCGCAGGCATCGATGACGGGCTGGTTGGTTCCGTTTACCCAGGCAGTCCAGGTGTCGACGTGACCGACGGGAGCGCTCGACAGAGGAGTTCCAGCGATGGCGTCACGGACCTGCTTGATGTAGCTGGCAATCACGATGGGCCCGGCACCGGGGTTCTCGTGGTTAGCAATGCCAGTGGGAGTGATGCGGTACAGATCCTCGTTGCCGACGGAGATACCTGCAACCAGGCTGGTGAAGTCGCTGCCGTACTGGGAAATGGCCGCCTTGAGAGCAACGATCTCGTTGTTCACAACTTCTTGGCCAGCGGAAGCCCAGATACCGAGCAGGAGGCTCGTCTTGGTCTTGATGGCGGCTGGGATAGCAGAGATAGGGGTATTAGCAGTTCCCGCTTGCTATTGTAGAATTAAGGTTAGTTGTTGCTCAATTACGAGTCTACCATTGGTAGAAAGACTTACAATCATGGTGTAGAGACGAGCACTTGTGAAGCCAGCGCCGGGAGCTCCGACAAGGTTCTGGGCGTTGGAGAACTCGGCCTCGAAGTCAGACTCCTGCTTGGCAGCGCCGGTTGTGAAAGTCGAGCCATAGTTGAAGCCCTGGTAGACGGCCGAAACCGAGGAGAAGGTGGCAGCCAAGGCCAGGAGACCTGCAGTTGCTCGCATCGTGTAGGTGATATGCGGGAGTTGAGGTTTAGGTAGGTAGATGCGTCCAAGACAAGAAAACGAGAGACTGTGCAGCTTGTTGTCCAAAGGTACGAATAGCAAAGGTTATTCAAGAGACAAGAGAGAGCTTAAGACCGGGGAAAAGATCAGTCGAGGACTGGAGGAGATCCGATGATGTCGTGTAAAGCGGGTATTACGGGGCCTCGAATCGACACTGACACCTCGTATCCAGAAAGAGCAGGGGAGAAGCCGATGTTGGTGTTGATGTCTGTCGACGGTTCCCGAGTTGTGTATCAACGAATGTCCAGAGTTCAACTGTCACAGGAGTAGTAGGAGCGAATGTACGGATTTTGAAGTCCTAGAGCTTTTTGTTCAGAGGAAGAGATAATCAACAGCAAACAGCTCGGAAAGACAGGACAAGCACCGAGTTTATAAAAAGCACCGCACGGCGCACAGTGAATCAAGAGTTCCCGAGACTTTCATGCCAAGGCGCAGCACCCATGGGGGAGCTTGCTTTTGGTAAGGCCAACCGGGAAGGGCACCTGAGAGTCAGGGGCAGGGGCAAGTCACTCTGGAGTCCACTCCGCCACCTGCTCCAGCGATCGATCCAGTGCCGATCCACAGAAACAAACATCCGGGCCAAAGAGAGCTCGATGCCAGGCACCATCCGCCGAAAACAGTTGAAGAAACAGCGGCACCACTGGGCAACATCCCAGTTCCAGCGAACAAAACATCAGCCCACAGCAACTTCGCTGACGTGGTGTACCTGCGCTAGTGGCAACGGAGGGGCTTTCAGGCTTTTGGTTGTTGGCAGCGCCGGACCTGTCACGGCGCTTTGAAGGCCCCAGCAGCAGAGATCTGATGCGCTTCTGCACTCTCCAGCCATGCCGACATGCAAGCCCCTCAGCCCCTGAGAGTGCGGTGGATGTTTCCCCTGAGATGGCGATGCATGTTCTCCAGAGTCAGCCAGATATAAATCTGATATCAACTCAGCCAACACAGTGGATGAACCCCAATCCATCTCGCAGGAAATGGAGAAGAAATAGAATAAAAACAATCAGGCAGCAGATGGCCGGGCGCGTCGGACTGCAAAGGATCTCGGCAGCTTGTACATGTGAGACATATTCTTAACCGTAGCCGTTAATAACTTCCATCTTGCCCTGCTTGCATAATGCAAGCAGGTGCCATGGAGAGACCTCGTATCCCATCAGAGAATTTTCGTCCTTGTTCCAGATCATCCAAGTTTCCCGGCGGGAGAAAACAGTCGATGGTTCCCTAACACGTCATGGGACAGTGCCGGCGCAGCGCTCCCGCACTGTACGCTTGCACTTCCTGATGTGACAGCTGTCAATTCTGCCGCTCCGGCTGCCAGTCCAGTTCGCTGTCTACCCTTATTCCAGGACTCAACGTCGAACGTCGATATCTCAAAGTCGTGAAGGTTCAATGGCCTGACTGCCTAAGTTACGCCGCGATACCTGGACCGCGGCCCGGTAGTTGATTTTTGCCTAGATCCTACTCATCCTGGTGCTCTTTCCGGAGCCCAATGCCGAAATGAAGCTGAGGGATTCAGACAAGGGCTTCGGACTTAGTCCCCGGCTTGGCAGCCCTATGGCGTGCAGGGTCCGGATGGTCGAAGTGATGAACACCATGAACCTCTGTCTCAAGTCAACATTTGCTGGATATCCGACGAGATTGAGGTACCTCGAGGGAGCCTGATGTGGTTCACCTCACAGATAGTGAGCCCACAATGTCGAGCCTATGGTTTTTCCGCATCACCAGAAGTCTTGGGCATGACAATCGAATCTGGTCTAAGTGCAATGGTTTCGGGCAATCCCAGTTGGATGACGACTTGAGGAGTTGTTCTCCTCGCGAGTGGAAGAGGCCTGCCATGACGAGGACAAATGCGCCAACAAAACACGGTAGACTCAAACGAGCGGCGGAAAATGCGCCTAGAAGTATGTTACAAATCCCAACTTGGGAGTACTACGCCGTCAGGAGTTGATGTTCGATTAGCCATCCGGCAACTGTTTGGATAGGCACAACATGCCGAGTCGCAAAGTCTGCACACTTACAATATGTCGTACAACAACAAAGCAGTACTTGGCGGTATATAAACCCTGGCAGTTGTAAGTGTTACTGCCCTCCTCACACCCCGAACAAGCGTTCCGCTAGAAGTGTGACGCCACATACTCTTCCGTCCGACCGCGTCTATGGAGACTGCATCTGAAGAGACGTGCAGCTGGCGCGAGCACGTCATTTCGTAGGGGTGGCTTTCATCGATAAAATATGAAAAAGGGGCACGGCTACCGGTGCAGATGGGTCATCTCCCCGGATTTTACATGGTAGGAAGAGCCCGCCCCTATTACCCCGTCCAAGATAAAACCAGCGGGGCTCAGGCACGCATCGGCAGCCGAGCTATCTCAGCTATCAAGGATGGCAACCAATGAGCATTACCTTGCGGGTTGGCTCGTCTTATTGTCTCGAACTCGAAACCCTCGTGCACCATTATAGCCACAAGACCGGAGGCGAGGAAAGGGACGAGCACCGGGAAGGCAGTACAATAATGCTGCGAACAATATACCACCTGCACACAATAGTAGACTATGACGAAGTAGTCATCAAGGGAGACAGGAGAGTTCCCAAGGTCGGCAACCCTGGGAAGCAGTTCAAGGGGCAAGGTACGGCGTGTTCCGGGACATGCTCAAGTTCAATGCAGAG